ATTTGTTAAGCCACTGATATTCTAGGGGTTTATTTGTTAATAAGTAAGCTGACTGAGATAGGTGAGTTTTTTGAGTTGGGCTGTCTACATTAATTTCAGTATCTGGTACTTTTGTCAGTCAAGATGAAACATTATTTTGTTATTTACAAAAACATAATTTACTTCTTAAATTTCTTGAAAATTGCATGAGGTATTTTGGCATTTGATTTTTGCCATTCACTCTTAAGTTGATCACCATTTCATTTATTACTTTGAAAGTCAGTGTAATTAACTGGTATCGTAAATGCTTCATCAAGTTAAGAGAGAGTCCAAATCTCTGGGATAATAATATCTTTTATGACAAGCTGAAATACTACTTGACTTTATTTTTGTTTTACTCTTAATGTCACACAGATTATTCTGGGTTCTGTGAGCTAGAGGCTTGGTAACTGAAGAATTGTTTTTATCTTTCCAATGACTACACTGATGGGCTTCTTTATGGTCCCCATCAAAAGAGAAGACAGTGTATATATGTCTCATTGAGAGCTCAAAGCCCTTAAGGCCAGAGCCTGTTGAGCCATATTCCCTTTGCTTCATATTCTAAAGGACTGCCACTTAATATGCACTTGCTAACGAACTATGGAAGATGTAACCATGACAGTTTTCCAAAGAAGCCTTTTCCTAAAGGAGTTTGTGAGCATTTGAAGTGTTAAACTATTACATATTTTTTTTTCCAGAGGGCCTTCAGAAGGATAAGAACAAACTTTATCCTTCTCAGTGAACTAACTCTTTCACAAATGGAAGGTGGACAGAAAATTTTGTCTTCTAAATGCATTAACATCTCTTTCTAACATATGTTTCCTTTCTTCTTTTCTCTATCCTTTTGGTCACAAAAAGCTCCATTGTTTTTGTAGTTACCCTTTGGGGCCTTAACATTTCTTTTTCTCATTTCAGTGTATGAGGTCTCAAAACAAGTGGTTTGATCAACTGCTCAAGGGATCACACATGGAACAGAAAGCACTTAGAAGTCTGCACTCTTAGAAGGGCATTGACATTGGAGTGATAGGAAAAATAGTGTTGTGGATACAACTTTCATGTCCAAGCTCAGACCACTTTTATTACTGAGAAATAATGCACACATACATATACATATATATATCTATATCAGTCAATTAATCGATCAATAGATATGTAGGTAGATATTTGACTTCTTGCCAGCATGCTGTAAAGCTTTCTCTTTTTCTCATGTATATCACTTAGGAAGAGTGACTGGTCCAGGGTGTTTCCTGCCTTCTACTTGCATTCCCTTCCCTGAATGAAAGGAAGCAAAAGTCTTGTGAAGAAAAAAAATTTTCCAATGAGGACAAGTGTGTGAATGTGTACATGCACATGTGTGTCTGGGTACTAATTTATTTTGCAGTAAATGAATGGCCCTTGTTGGGGTACTTTGGGCAGAATCCACAGAGAAAACACTATGAAGAAGGCTGGCTTTAAGCCTTTGAAATTATAGCTCACTTTCTAAATCACTATCAGAAGCTACTGAATTAGTAATAAAATCAATGTCAGAAAAACCTAGGCTGAAATCACTCAGCCTACTTCATACATGTAATCAACAGTATTTTCAAACTTGTTTTCTCATCTCTAAAACAGGTCTAGTGGCATCAAATCAATGAACTAATGAAATTAGCTAAGGATCCCAATGAAAGAACAACCTTAAGAACCACAAATAAATGTAGGCAATTGTTGTATTGGTATTATTAGTCTAACCAGCATTTGGAGGTTTGCATTTTTAACTTTTTGTTTTGGAATAATTATAGATTCTCAGGAAGTTCCAAAAAGATCTATAGGGTGATCCCACACACTCTTCACTGTTTTCCCCAGTGGAAACTTCAGAAGTCTAGGATAATTATCAAAAGCAGGATGGATATTGGAATAATTCAAAGAACTTATTCAGATTTTATAAGCTTTATATGTATTCATTTCTCTGTGTGTTTATGTGTATGGTCCTATGACATGCTATCAAGTGTGTAGGTTTGTGTAACCACTGTTGAGATCAAGATAAAAAAGACTCATGCTAACACCTTTGTGGCTATATCCACCACCTAATCTTTGGCAACCACTAATCTGTTCTCCACTTCTATAGTTTCATTTCAAGGATATTATATAAATAGAATTATACAGTATGTGACCTTTTGGGATAAGCTTTTTTTCTCACTATGCATCATTCCCTTGAGATATATCTAAGAGATAGATATCACTACTTCATTCCTTTTAGTTGTTCCACATTATTCCATAGCATGGATATATATCACAGTTTGTTTCATCGTTCATCTCTTCAGGGGCTTTTGGGTTGTTTCTCATTTTTGGCTATTATGGATAAAGCTGGTATAAACATTAGCACATAGAGTTTATGTGAACATAGGTTTTCATTTCTCTGGGATAAAATGTCCAATAGTGAAATTGCTGGGCCATATGATTGTTGTAGGTTTAGTTTCATAAGAAACTACCAAATTATCTCTAGGATGGCTGTACCATTTGCATACTTTCTATACATTCTTGCCAGCATTTGTTTTTGTCACCATTTTTCATTTTAGCCATTCTGATAGGTATGTAGTGAATGTACTAATATTTCATTGTGGCTTTAATTTGCATTTCCCTAGTGGCTAATGGCGTTGATTACCTTTTCATGTGTTTATTTATCACCTAGATATGTTGAGGGAATGTCTGTTTATATCTTTTGCCTATCTTCTTAGTTGGGTTGTTGCTTACTCTTGAGTTTTGAGTGTTCTTTATATATTCTGGATATAAATCCTTTGTTATATATGGGGTTTGTCAATATTATCTTGAAGTTTGTATCTTGTCTTTTCACCCTTTTAGTTAGGGTCCTTGGCAGAACAAAAGTTTTTATTTTTGATGACTGCAATTTATCATTATTGTAGATTTTGCTTTTGATGTCTGAAAACCCTGTCCCGCCTTAAGTCACAGAGATTTTCTACCATTTTTTTCCTAAAATGTTTAGAGTTTTACATATAGTTGTGCATGTAAGTTTGTGACCTATTTTAATTTAATTTTTGTATTAGGTGTTAGGCTTAGGTTGAAGATTTTTGGAGGGCTTTATCACTGGGGCCTGGATATCTAGACACATTTTAGCCCATGTTCTCCCTGGCTACTTCTCTATATTCCTAGGTATTATTTCATGTCCACCCTAAATTTTAACCTCTTTTACTCTTTTATTAGGTCTTTTTCAGTTATTTTACTTTATATTGATATTTCATCCCTCATTTCTTATTGCCTTACTGATTGAAAGAGTGAAATTACATAGATATCTTCAATTATTTACATGAGTCATGCCGATAATATAACAGGATATGATGATAATGTCAATGTTTGTCTTTCCGAATATATTATAAGCCTGTAGAGAGGGAGGAGCATATCTTTCTCTTTTTCAAAACCTAGGCCAAGATTGCAGGTAATAAGGACCCAATGATATTTGTAGAATCAAAGGAGTTCTGCCAGGTTTATATTTGCTACAAGAGAGACATGATCACCTATATGTGCATCTGTACTCAGTTACAATGTTAGAAGATTTTTTAAAAGACAAAACCGAGTGGAGAAGCCAGTAACATCCTAATTGGATCACCCCTGACTGTTTGCACCTGATGCTCTACAGGCTGGAACCTGTTAATGAGGTCAGGATGGCAGCTTGTATTGCCCAGTGCCAACAGTAGTTGGTTCTAGGATGCTGTGGGAAGGCATACTGCTGATTCTTAAATATTTTCCCAATCCATTTGCCTATGATTCAATTTAAGCATATCCCTCAAGACAGATCTTTGAACTTATATGTGTGCACATATTTTATAAATACACAAGCACACACTCACAACATATGTGTCATTGTTACTGTTTTCTCAGACGAGTCTCCAAATTCTACTATTTAAAATGTTCTTTGCATGTGCTTACATCCAAATGTCCATTAATTAAGGATTTCTGGCCATGACATCCCATTTCATTCTAGTTTCCCAAAGGCCTCATGCTTAGGCCTGACAGGGGGTGTGGAGATTCATGTGTTATTTGTTCACAAATGTCTGAAAGCTCAAAAACACAGGTCAGTACATTTCTACAGAAAAGTCTTCCTCATGATTATAAAACACTTTTATTCTTCCTATGAAAATTAAAATAACATTGGGGGAGAGGGTAGATCCAGAGGATTAAATACAGTTTGCAAATAAATGACTTTTATCAGGATATGAGCCATAGTACAGGGACAGATACATTTTTTTGTGTTAAAGTATTTGGACAGGTTTGCTATTGAATGCTTTTACAGCATTTAATTCTGAGCTATGCTTATTATTTGGTAGACATTAACACATGTCCACCCCCAAGCACACCAAATAACCTTTTAAGAGATATTCTATTAATAGTTAAGAGGATTTATAGACTTAAACTGTACTTTATGCAAAGACACACACCACTAAGTGGGAAAACTGTCTCTCTTTGCAGAAATGTGAACTAGTAGTAGAAATTTATGCTTAGGAAATTCACTTTAGGAGACTATGATTTTAGGGAAAACATCCCTTTGCTCCTTAATGTTCTTATGTTCCTTCATTAGTATATTATTTTTTTCTCTAGCAAGTTTTGTAAAAAACAGCCTATAATTTTTCTTTCACTACTATATAGCTTATAATCTTTATATCAGAGAAAAACATTCAATGGTTAATAGTACTAGTTGCAAAAATTTGTCAGTCTTCTGCTTTTCAAAACATTATCTTATGAAACAAACAAAACATAAATAGTCATTTGTCTTGGTAAAGGGAAGTTGTTTAGATTGGAGAAAACTGGACAGATCAGGTAATTATCATCCAGATTCTAGTGTTTCTCGGGTTGATTTGAAAACAATTTTGATATAATATCAATAAGATAAAGTGAGCAATGGCACTGAAGCTTGCTTATGGTTTTATATTCTCTCTGGATAAACCCTTTCCTTGTCAATAAAGGACCAAGGATTGAGGAGATAGTCTTACCTTGATATCACACACAGCTTTGTTGTTCTCTTCTTTTCTCGTGGTTTGGTGAATGTTTGCATTATATCCCTCAGCCCTAGGCAGAGGCAGACATTGCTTCCATATGGATGGGCTGGAGAAATGTTTCTGGAGGCATTCTTGATTGTCTTGGGAAAGCCTGGGCATGTTTTTACGATAATGGTTCCAAATGAGTCCTATAGCCTGAGTTTAACAACCGCAGCCCAAGGTTCACTCTATATCTCTTCATTTGGCTGACTGGTGAAGGTCTCTCAGTCCCCTGGGGACCTTCCTGGAAAGTGACACTAATCCAAGCAAAAGGATTACCTTTTGTGGATGGCAGTTTATCCACAGATCTTTAGTGTTCTATTTCAGGCAGGTTCTCCTATTTTATATGTTTAGGTATATTATGACTGCCCCCTACAGGTAACAGTGTATTCCCAATTAAAATTTAATCCTAAACCAAAACTGAAATTATTTAAATGATATATTGCTTATTTATATAATGATAAAGGAAATAGATTGCTTGGCAGAATTCCATACTAGCAGTGTGTGGTAGGGAATAGTACTTGGCAATCTTGGGCTATGCTGTTGAGGGGCAGATGGTCTGTCCAATTTATTTAGGTTTCTTTTTCTTTTGCATATTAACAACTTATTTTCATTTTTTAATATCACAAACTTCAATCAGAATACTTTAAAAAAACATTCTGCATGCATTTTACTAATCTGACAAAGGACGAGTATCCAGTTTACTTGCATTATACTATTAAGTAAAATCACTAAATACACATAACAATGAAACATCAATGCATTAATCTGATGGTATCTTCCCGCTATGCACATGCTCATGTAACACTACTAGTAATTTCTCTGGAGCATTGGCAAATTGCAGATGGAGGAAATTCTCTCTAAAGCAAATTTAAGGGATTAAACATCATCATCATCATCATCAGTGCTACTGAGAATAAATCTGCTACCTATGCAGGGCTCCTACTTCCCGAATGTTCCCAAACCACTCACAGTCCCTTTCTTGCCAGAATTATCAAACAACTTCTCATTAGAATTGTCATCTTTGAACATGTTTACATCTTTAGCTTCTTCATCCTCTTTTGCATCTACTTCATCTTCTTTTTCATCTGAATATTCAAATATCTTTTCATCTGCATCATCTTTCTCCTTTACATCAGCATCTTCAAGACTTCTTTCACCTGCATTTTCTTCATCCTCTTTTTTATCAGACTCATCATCACAAACTTTTTTATATTTATCTTCCTCTCCTTTCTTTTTATCTGATTCTTCGTTAAACTCTCTCAGAACCTTCATCAAACACCTTTTCAGAGTTTTCATTTTCAAATTCTGATTTTTCAGAGTCATTTTCTTCTAACTCTTTTCCAAGAACATTTTCATTAAACTCCTTGCCTGACTTGCTCTCATTAAACTTTTTTTTGAGGTCATTTTCTTCAAATTTTTTTTCAGAGCCATCTTTAAATAGCTTTTCAGAGCAGTCTTCTTCAGATTCTCTTTCCAACTCATCTTCTTCAGACTCCTTTTGGGGGCCATTCTCTTCTTCATACTCCTTGTTGGTACGATCTTCTACAGATTCCTTTTCAAGGGCATTCTCTTCAAAATCATTTTTGTATTGCTTCTTTTTGGATTCTCTTCCAGGGCAATTCACTTTAGACTCTTTTTTAGGACTACTCTCTTCAAATTCTTTTTTGGGACTGCCTTGTCCAGATTCTCTTTCAAGGTAGTCTTCACACTCTCTTTTGGGGCAGCCTTCTTCAGCCTCCTTTTGGGGGCCACTCTCTTTGGCATCTTCTTCAGATTCTCCCCCATCTTCTGTTTTTTCAAACTTCTTTTCATCTATAGGTTCTTCAAATTCCATTTCAGTTGCAGGTTTTTGAGCATTCCTTTTAGATGTGCTAGGGTGCCCTAAAAAATGCCTTGCTCTAGAAGGCTTTGCCCTTTCTGAAATACAGATGGAATTTGAACACCAAAGACCTTTACTGGCATCAGGAGCATGGAGGAAAGCCTCCCATCCTTTCAGCCTTTTCTCCCTTTCTCTTGTGGACTCTTCCACCTGATAATCTGTACTTCCATCCCACACTTGGGCAGTGATTTGACGGCCGCCAAACCACCGTCCATTGAGAGTTTGGATACAATAATCAGCTTCCTCTGGATCCCTGAAGGACACAGAAGCCACACCATCTGGGTGTCTATCAAAGAGAAGGAGCTTCCTAATTTGTCCAAACTTTGAACACTCTATTTGAAGATCTTCTCTGATCTCATTCAGCACCAATGGGTCATCCTCAAAATCCATAGGATGAAACATATTTTTTATGATGACAACTCGCTCGTGGCGCATTCGGGTTGGCCCATCTCTTCTCTCAGGTCTCCAATCCAACTGCTTTTGTTGCAGAAACAGCTTTTTCTTGTAGTCCTTACACTTCTTCTTCTTCTTAGAGGCATCGTATTCCCCCTTCAGTTGAAACTTTGCTACCTCGACATGTAATTTGTAGCCTCTAATTTCATCTTCATCCAAAAGTTTCAGTGCAAGATCCACAGATTCCCTCTTCAAATAACAGCAAAGCCCATCTCCTTTAAGATTTCCTTGATTATCTTTGTAAAGCTTGACCTTAAATTCTTCTGTTTGAGAATCTCTCATAATAATGCCAAACTTGGACATGAGCTGTATAAATTCATCTACTGTAATGTCTGGAGGCAAACCAGACACATATACATTTGTATTTCTGTCTTCTTCAACATGAAACCATCCTGATTCAGCCTTTCTCTTTTCTCCCCTCTTTTGGGAGTCAGTGGGTTCAGGGATTTTTCTTTGTGGAGTTTTCTCTGCAGGCCTAACACTAACATCTTGTACATTTGCAGTAGAGCTATATGTACCATCACTAGAAAAGCCATAATTGGCTTGATATGTAGCAATGAAATCTTCAGTGATCTTGGGGAACCAAGCCTTCTTCTCCAAGTCCCACTCATAGGGGGTATCATCTGGTTGCTGCCCAAAAGCATCAGCTTCTCTACTGGGATCTTTCTGGGTGTCTCTGTCCTTGGTATCCCCGTACAATTCTTGCATATGCAACTGCTCATCAAAGTCATCATTTCCACCCAAGTTGTTGCCATTCATGTTGCCAACTTAGCCCAGGGGCACAGTCCAGGTGAGCTGAGAGTCTGAGATGAAGCTAGAGAAGAACAGAGAAAATCTATTTACATTTCTTAAAACATCATTTCAGTACCAGTCAGCTTTGTGGCTAGAAATGTATGCTAAATTCATACCCAAACTTAAGTCTGAGGATTATCACACTTTATATTCATGTCATGTAGAATTAATTAAAGTGATTTTCTTACCAGCAGATCTGAACCACGAGAAATGTTAAGTGAAGTCCTTCACGTAGAAGGAAAATGATAGCCAAATCTCCAAATCTGGCTATACACAAAGGAATAAACAACACTGGAAATGATAACTATGAGACTACATTACTTAATTCTCATTAAAAGACTGTTTAAGCAAAAACAATAACAATGTATTCTGGGTTTTGTAAAGTGTTATAAAGAAAATAGTAAAGATCAGTATGAAAATTAATGAGATAGAAAACAAATCAAATGGAGAAAAAATCATTTAAATGGAAAGCTGGTTCCTTGAGATCAAGAAAATTAATAAACCTGTAGCCAAATGAATCAGTAAAAGAGAGAACACACTACTAATTACCAACACAGTCATGTACCATATAACAATGGGGATATGTTCTGAGCAATGTTCCTTAGGTGATTTTGTCATAGTGTGAACATCAGAAAGTTTAATTACACAAATCTAGATGGTATAGCTATACTTTTATATGATTGGCAACACAGTAGGTTTGTTTACACCAATATCAACCCAAACACCTGGGTGATGTGTTATGCTATGACATTATGATGGCTATGACATTACTAGGTGGTGGGAATTTTTCAGCTCCATTATAATCTTATGGGATAACTGTGGTACATATGTTCCATTGTTGACAGAAATATTAAGCAGCATGTAACTATATTAGGAATGAGAAAGGTAACCTCAGTACTAATTCTATAGATATCACATGAATAATAGAGAATATTAGGAACAACTTTATCATAGTAAATTAGAAAATTTAGCTGAAATGGATACATTCCTTAAAAGTAAACTATCAAAGTTCACTTAAAAATAGATAGCCTAAATATCCTTATATCTATTAAAGACATTGAAATTTAGTAAAAACAAACAAACAAACAAAAAACCCTCCTGCAAAGAAAATTTTGTGCCCACATGACCTTACTTGGGAATTCTGTCTTCAATTTTTACAGTCAAAAGTAATACATGCTGATTAAAATGCATGCAATTACACAGAAGTGTTTAAAGTAAGAATCAAAAGTCAGCATATCACAACTCACTCCCTTCAGTTACCTGTTGTTTAAAAGCTTTTTGGTGTTTGTCATTATAGAATTTTGTTATGTACATACACACATATAAACATCCATTTAAAGCAAAGAAATATTATGTACATGTTATCTGAGCTTGCTTCAGAACTTAAAGCTCTATATTTCTTTTTAAACAGTTGCATAATACCTCAATGCCTGATATTATATTATTTTCTCCATTCCTGTGTTAATGGACTAAATTTGGGTTGTGCTATGGACTGAATGTTTACGTTCCTCAAAATCCATATGAAGAAGCCCCAATGCCCACTGTAACTGCATTGGGAGATGAGACTTATATAGAAGTAATTAAGGTTAAGTGAAGTCATAGAGGTGGAGTTCTGATCCAATAGAATTAGTGTCCTTACAAGAAGAGACAGGACAGAGTTCTCTTGTGAATTTTTTTTCTCTCCACCATGTGACACAGGGAGAGGGTGGCCATCAGCAAGCCAGGAAGCAAGCCCTCACCATGAACTGATATGGTCAGCACTTTGATTTCAGATTTCCAGCCTCCAGAGCTACAAGAAATAAATTTCTGTTGTTTACCACCTGGTCTATGGTATTTTGTTATGCTAGCCTCAAATGACAAATATAGGTTGTTTTCTATATTTGTTTTGCTATTATAAAAATATTGCATTGAAAACCCTTGTACATTGATTTTTGCAGTAGAGATTCCTGGAAGTCTGATTATTTGGTTATGGAGTGTGCACATTTAACATTCGGGTAGATACTTATATTTTTTCAGCAGGACTTAATTTTCTGTTTGGATGCTCCATTGGGATATCATTCTGTAGTATTAAGGCCATGTTCCCACCACAGCGTGTAATCTGCCTTCACATTTGGAATGACAAATTAATCAGGTATGAACAGTCATCCATCCACTTTCTGCACAGGAGCAGTGCTGACATTTGCAGCTGAAAAATGTCTATGTGTGGTACTGTGGTAGTGTCCATACCCAACATTTACAATTCCTAGTCCCTGGGCACCAAATGCCAGTGGCACTGTACCCCTAGTCATTGCAATAACCCTAAAATCCCAAACAGTTTCAAAGACCCCTGAGGGAGTACCTTCCCCTCTCCTGGGACCTATGAAACTTGTACCAAGTTTAAAATATTATAGTTAAAGGGAACAGTTTTGTGACCAATAGATTTGTTACCAATGAGTTATTTTACTAAGCTATTAAGGTCAGTATCCACAATCTCTTTTCATTCTCATTCCAATTTGATTCTAATTTCAAATATTTTTTGGTAAGCAAGTCCATTAATTTAGGCTAGAGTTTCACATATAAATGGACTCAACTCATAGCCTCAATTTTATTAAAAGAAAAAATTCAAATAAACAGAACAATATAAGGAATATCTATGAGTCTATAACTAATTTCAAAAAGTCAATGTTTTGCAATATTTGGTAGAGTTCTTTCAAAATTTTACTTTAGGACTATAACATAGATGTCTTTACTCAACTAACTATGTTAAATTAGTGGTTATATTTCCCTCTGTATTTGTGGTAGGCCTGTGTCCTAACCTCTGGAACCTGTAAAAATGGTAACCTACATGGCAAAAGGGAACTAAGGTTGTAGATTTAATTAAAGTGAAAAACTTTGAGAAGTGGAGAGTTCCTAGGATTATCCAGGTGGGGCCAGCCTAAATCATATGAGCCCTTAAATCAGAGAACCCTTCCCAGCTGTGTGCATAGAAAGATGCCACGTTGTCTACTTTGAAGATGGAGGAAGTAGGTCATAAGTCAAGGAATGCAGACAGCCTTTAAAAACTGGAGAAGGCAAGGACATAGATTCTCCTCCAGAGCCTCCAAAAAAAAAAACTCAGCCCTGTCAAACAGCCCAGTGCAGACCCATGTAAGATGATTTGCGTCGGTTTAAGCCAGGAAATTTGTAGTAATTTGTTATAGCAGCAATAGAAACAATGCAATATTATATGTTATCATTATAGGTATTAATAATCAATGTGTAATATTGGTTTTGACTGTTTTAAACCTTGGCCTAAATTGAATATTTGTAGTAGAAATGTTTTAGTTATACTTACACATTTCTTTCAGTGCTTATCGTAACAAAAAATATGCTGTTATATACACCTGAGCACTAGCTGCAGTGTATGTAGTACATAAAGAGGGTAGCTGATTGTCAAATTAAAGTACTGGGTGCCCTGTTAAACTTGAATTTTAGTTAAACACGATATATATATATATACACACACACGTATATATATACATATACACGTATATATATATACACATATACTTTTTTAAGGAAGTAAAATCGCAAATATTGCCTGGAACATACATTGTTTGTTAAACCTGCAACCGGAGGGCAAGATAACTTTTCTGATCCACGTCATGAAAGAGATAAGAACACCTGCTTCACTGAGCTGTTAAATCCAAATGAAAGTCAATCTATTTTCACGCAGTTGAAAATTCAACTTTTCGAAAGAATGCCGGTTGAGACAAACGAGTTTCGGCCTGCTCGCTGCTTCCACCGGGTATCGGGACGGCCCGCTGGGCTCCCACGTGCCCGTTCCGCTTTATCCTCCCTCTGGACAGGTCAGTCCGGGCTGGTGCTCCAGACTTCGGCGTGAGGGGTCTCTAATTCGCTGGGTCGCATGCCCCGGATCGTAGTAACCCCACTCCTAAGTCACAGTCCATTGGCCGGGAGTTTTGGACCCTTCCGGCTTCCGCCTTCCGGGTAATCACACGCCTCTGGTCACGTGACCGGTGCTCCTGTCATTCTACTCCGGCTCCTAGTCTGCTAGTGCCCGCCTCAACGTCTGCTAGGTAGTGGGATCTCTTCCATTTTCGGCGTCCGAGTCTCCCGCGCCGCCGCTCAGGCCTCCGGACCCTTCGGAAGAGGTTCTGACTTGGCGCCCTAGCCCTGCTGTGGGCCCCGACGTCCCGGACCGCCGCATCCTTTCTGCCGCCTTGGGTGCGTTGGGGTCTCCCGGGTTCGTGAAGCAAGGCCGCACTGTTTCAGGTTGTTTTCCTCTGGGGCACTTGCTCTAGTGAGGCGACCTCTGCGGTTTTTCCGGCCTCCTTGACGTGTGTTGGTTTCCTGCCGCTGTGGCCCCTCCAGCCCTTCTCCAGTTCCGGGTTCCAGTTTCTCTCCTTTCAGGCCTTCCCTGGGTTTATGAAACTGTCGAGCTTTCCCCGCAGGGGCAGAGAACGTGAAGGGCGGGCTGGGAGTGGAGGACAACGCACGAAAGGTATGCTTTCCTAAGGACTGGGCCGCGGCCCTGGCCTGCTAGAGCTTGGAGTTGTTCAGGGACTTCGCTAACTGCCCAGAGACACCTTCAGCTTTCCCCGGAGGGGCCACTGGGGCTGAGTCTTCTGGGTTCCAGTGTGGCAGCTCGAGCCGGAATAAGCCAGTTTCTACCTGGGCCCTGCCAGTCCGCCTCGCTCTTGCTTGTTTAGGCAGCAGTCCTCAGATGTAGAGATTAAGTTCCAAACTGACTAAGGTCTTTGGGATCCTGGAATAGAATTTTTGTGGCTATGTAACCATGAGCTTATATTTTAGGAAAAGGAACCTCTCTATATTTACTGCCATGATAAAATCAGGCTTAAACTTTTATCTGTTCGTTTAGGTGTGAGAATTACTTAAAAGCTCATAATTGTAGGTTTTTGTCGTCAAACTATACTCCCATGGTTGGTTCCTAAATTGTAATTGGTATTTGCCCCCCAAATTCTTCAAAAATTGATTTTGAAAATACTATGAACTTTGGTTGAAAAACTGTCTTCTACGACAGTTTTTCTTCTTCTTTCCCAAATGGGAAATTACATTCCCACTTTGGTTATATTAATTCAAATGAGTAATTTTAGAGAGAATTACAGGTTTTCATATGTCACTTCAAAATGATGCTTAGTAAATGTAATAAAATAATTGCTTCCATTGGTACTCTACAGGTTTTTATTTTATTTTATTTTTTTTGTCAGAAGAGGAACGTTGATCCCAATTGTATATAGTTAAAATATTTTCATTATTTTACTATTTTTATATGCTTGTTCATTTAAGCATGATTTCTGATGTCAGTTTCTTAAATGGTTACTTTAAAAATCTTACTGCAATATTGTGCCAGAGATTAAGAAAAACCTTTCCTGGAAAAGACCTATAGAGAACACTTTTATGGATCAGTGTGTAGTTCGGCAAGATTTGAAATATAATGATACTAATATTTAGGATATTTAATATTTATGTGGAATGCCTGGAGAGATTAAGGTGATAATGATATTATTCTTTATAATTGTAGTGGTTATTTAAAAATAATAACACCTGGTATTCTGGTTTTACCTTACATCAAAATTGAAGATCTTTTGGAAAATATTGAAGATTATAAAATTTAGATGACCAAAATGGATATCCGGGGTGCTGTAGATGCTGCTGTTCCAACCAACATTATTGCTGCCAAGGCTGCAGAAGTCCGTGCAAACAAAGTGAACTGGCAGTCCTATCTTCAGTAAGTACTGATTTGCTGTGAATCATGGGTAATCATGTGCTTTGGATCAGACTTTCTCATGGTCATGCTTCTATGAGAGAAATACTGGAAAAATACTACTAAATGTGGAAGAAAATACTTCCTTAGAATAATTAGCTGTCACAGGGAGATAGTGGGGTGGAAACAGCTTGTGGCTCTGTTGAGGAGGCAGAGCTGCTCATAGTTGTGCATTTCTAGTGAGTGGGAAACCATGGGATGAGCATTAATAGACTATGGAGGGAGGAAGAGGATAATGTGCAGGGCCTGATGCCAGCTCAGTATGCCTTTGTGATCAGTGTGGGGACAGGTTGTGTTGCAGAATAGCTCAAACAACTAGGAAAAGGCATAGATAATTTAGTTCAAGACTTGAATTTGCATTGTGGTTCTTTCTACTAGTTTGGTGATCTTAGGCAAATCTTTTCTCTGAGGCTCATTAAAGTAAATGTGAAATGGGGATACATGTATGACAGGGTTCCCCTGCCAATAATATATTTAAAGTTGAACACAAGCATTAGTATGTTGAATATACTCCTGATAAACTTCAGTTTTTTCCCCTTCCTTCTTGTGTATATTAAGATTTAGCATGCTGGTGTTCTGTGTTTATCTGTAACATGTTCATTTATTCTTGACTGTATTTTATCATATTGACTTTATTTCATATCTATTTATTTTGATATAAAGGTGAGTTATTAAGAAAATTCAGATTTGCATATAAATTTTGAAAAAAAAAGGATCTTTAGTTTTATACTTAATAGTTTGCTTTGGTGTAAAAAGGACATACAGTGTACACAATATGAATCATTTATTTCTGTTAATGTCACTTATCTGATGTTTATTGACTGCCTGCCAAGTTTGAGGTATTTCCCCAGCCTTTGTGGCTACAGAAAGGTAAACTCATAATTTATTAGGAAAGTCAGATGTATAAACAGTTCATTTTAATTCAGCATGTTAACTGCAATAGTAGAAAAGTGCACAGGGAATGATGAGTGCACAAAAAAAGAACAGCTGATCCTACCTCTAGGAAGTTTTCCTGAAGGGGATGTTCAAAGGTAGGGAATTAAAAACAGCATTCTGATTGGGGAATAATACATGTTTCGAAGGCAGGCAATGGAGAGATGAGGCTGGAGAGGCAGCCAGGAGCCAATTGTGAAGGTCCTGTGTACCACTGGAAGGAGTTTGGACTTGATTCTGTCAGTCAGTGCTTTTCAAGGTAGATTACTAAGCTGTGAAACCCATGGTTGACATGAAGTCCAGTAAAGAAGCTCTGCCTGTAAAACAGATGAAAATGATTGTTGAATGGAGGTGGGACTGTACATCTCAGAACCTCCTTTTGAGATCATTCACCATCCTATTTAGGGTTCCAAGGAGCGGGGTTGTTTTGAAATCACTTTATTGAGTTGTGATTGATATATACAAACCTGTACATATTTAAGATACAATGACTTGATGAGTTTGAAGATAAGTATACACTCATGAAACCATCACTACAATCTATGCCTTAAGCATATCCATTGTCTGCAAAAGTTTCCTCCCACCTCCTTTATTTTATTTTACTTTACTTTGTGTGATAAGAGCACTTAACGTAAGATCTACCCTGTTAGCAAATTTTTAAGCATACAATACAATATTGTTAACTATAGGGACTGTGACATACATTAGCTCTGTAGGAATTATATAACTGAAACTTTGTATCCTTGATTAATACCTCCTTGTTTCTCCCTCCTGCCAGCCCCCAGCAACCACCAGTCTACTATTTTAGACTATTCTTTTTTTTTTTTTAAAGATTTTATTTATTTATTTTTAGGGAGAGAGAGAGAGAGACAGAGACAGAGAGACACATCAATGTGCGGTTGCTGGGGGTTATGGCCTGCAACCCAGGAATGTACCCTGGCTGGGAATCGAACCTGGGACACTTTGGTTCCCAGCCCGCACTCAATCAACTGAGCTACGCCAGCCAGGGCTTAGACTATTCTTATAAATAGGATCGTGTAGTGTTTGTTCTTTTGTGTCTGGCTTATTTCACTTAGCATAATGTCTCCCAGGTACATTCATATTGTGGGAAATGACAGGATTTCATTCTTTTTTTTAAAGACTGGATAATATTTCACTGTATGTAAATACCACATACTCCTTACCCTTTTATCCATCCATGGACACGTAGGTTGTTTTCATACCTTGGCTATTGTGAGGAAGGCTATCATGTACATGGAATGCAGATATCTCTTTGAGGTCCTGATTTCAGTTCCTTTGGATATATACCTAGAAGTAGGGTTGCTGGATCACATGGTAATTTTATTTTTCATTTTTTAGTAACCTCCATATTGTTTTCCATAGTGACTGCATCAATTTATATTCTCACCAGCAGTACACAACTGTTCCTTTTTCTGTACAACTTTGAAAACACTTGGTATCTTTTCTTTTTTGATAATAGCCATCCTCACAGGTGTGAGGTGGTATCTCATTGTAGTTTTGACTTGCATTTTCCTGCTGATTAGTGATGTTGAGCATATTTTCATGTACCTATTCACCAGCTTGTTTTTTTTGTTTCGTTATTGAGTTGTATGAGTTTTTTATATAGTTTTAATATTACCCCTTATCAGATACGTGATTTGCAAATATTTTCTTCTATTCCAAACAATTTCCTTTCATTTTGTTTATTTTTTCTTTTGCTGTTCAGGAGCTTTTCTGTTTGATGTACTTCCATGTGTTTATTTTTTCTTTGTTGCCTATGCTTTTGGTATTATACCCAAGAAATCATTGCCCAAGCTAATGGCAAGAAGCTTTCCCCTGTGTTTTCTTCTAGGGGTTTTACTGTTTCAGGTTTTACATTTTTCTTTAATTTATTTTGAGTTGATTTTTGTGTATAGGATAAGATTAGGGTCCAATTTTATTCTTTTGCATGTGGCTGTCCAATTTGCCCACAATGGTATATTGAAGATACTATCGTGTGTTCTTGGCACCCTTTTCAAACATCAGTTGACCATGTATGTAGGGATTTGTTTCTGGGCCCAAGAAGCACAGTTTTAAAGTTACTGTTGTAGGTAATAGAAACAACTGAAGTTTGTAAAGTGGGGAGTTGGATGATCAGATTTGTCTTTCGGTTGGATTGTTCTACCAACAATGTAGAGGACAGATGGATAACAAGCCTAGAACTAGGGAGAGGCAATAGCAGTATTCAGGTTGTTGGAATGGATAGAATTGGATAGATGTGAGAATGTCTTCGTGATTGATTTGATGTGCAAAGGTGAAAAAAAATCTAGGATGACTTCTGGATTCCTCGAAGGGAATGAATTATTGTGGACCCACTGACTCCAGGGAAGCAGGAGGAGGGACTTTCTGATGTTTTCTTTGTTCATCTGTATCTGAAATTAGGATTGTGAGCTCTTTGTCCTAATATTAGTACACAGTGCATTCAGACTAGAGAACAAAGAGTTTCGTGTTTATAAAACCTGATTCTGTTTATAACCTAAATAGAACAATATTGTTTTTGATCATAAAGCACTGGCTGACTGGAAGAAGTTGCTTAGCATTGGAACTTGGAACATTGTTTGTTACATGGTGATTTTTAATTACTTTCTCTTCTGTTCCTCCTGTTTCAAGGTCTCCATACTGTATAAGTTGTATTCTCTGTTTTTACTATTTCTGCCCTTTATTCAGTTGTCTGTCTCATGAATTTCTTTTATGAAACCCTTTTGCTTTGTTATGTTTGGGCACAAATGTTAACTCTGTGGCTGCTGTTAAGCTGTTGATTGTGGGTGTGAAATGTGTCTCCCTTAAAAGAGCTTACAGATTTTTAGAGGCTGGACAGGACACATGAATTATCAGTGAATCTTATATCCCCTTATATTCTGAAAGAACCTGTAGAAGAGTTCCCCAGTGTCAAAGGCTAATAATGTTTTATCCCTCATAATTATGTTGTTATGAGAATGCAGTGTTTTAGAAATTAATTTTATATAATTGAACATTTTCTTTATAATCTATCTAGACAGTACATAAGTGAATGGGTGTGGCTGTATTTCAGCCAAACTGGAATTTAGTAAAACTAAATTCTGAGGATATGAGAATCATAAAATATTGTACTTTCTTTTGAGTTTAAAGTTTAATAAGGAAACAAACTTTTAAAAAAGATTTTATTTATTTTTAGAGAGGGGAAGGGAAGGAGAAAGAGAGGGAGAGAAAGAAACATTGCCTCTTACATGCTTCGCACTGGGAATCTGGCCTCCAACCCAGGCATATGCCCTGACTGGGAGTCGAACCAGTGATCCTTTGGTTTGCAAGTCTGCACCCAGTCCATTGAGCTCTATCAGCCAGGAAGGGAACAAACTTTTTTTTTTTTTTTTAGATTTTATTTATTTATTTATTTATTTATTTTTAGAGAGGGGAACGGGGGAGGGAGAGAGAGAGAGAGAGAGAGAGAGAGAGAGAATGAATATGAATCATTGTGTGGTTGCCTCTCACATGGCCCCCACTGGGGACCTGGCCTGCAACCCAGGCATGTGCCCCGACTGGGAATCGAATCTGCGATGCTTTGGTTTGCAGCCCGCGCTCAATCCACTGAGCTACGCCAGCCAGGGCTGGAAACAAACTTTTAACTAAAAAATTAATACTTATGGAAAGCATTAAATGGAGATAAAGTTTTCTCAGACAACAGAAGGAGTGAGCACATAATTACCTGGGGGCATTGGTGATGTCTTTGCAGTACACATAAAGATAATTGTAGGAGTTCTCTGAGCAGAGATTCTGGGGGCTGCTGTGAAGGAAACTCCAGGCAGGATGCTGAGACTTAGAAGAACATGCAATGCTGGAGAGAGAGCTTTAGGTAGTGTGGTACCTGCACACTTCTGTAGGCCAGTTTGTGGTGCCTTCATTCACCGTTTTCATAGGCCAAAAACTTAGGTGTCATCCTGACTCTTATCTTTCCCTCACAATCTATATCCCATATGTTAACAAATTCATTTATTAGTACGTCCAATACGTGTCCTAGATCTGACCACTTTTCTCCAGTTCCACCATGGCTACTGCCCTAGTGCAGGCTGTCATCTCATCTCATGTGCTCTCTTGTTAGAGTTAGAGACTCTCACCTGGCAGCTCTGCTTTAACTGTTCCCCCATAGCAGCAATTCTTTACATAGCTGTGAGGTGAGAGTCATTTTAAAAAATATTAATCAAAGAGATTATGCAACACTGCTCACAGTCCTCTAGCTACTCTGATGTTCTTGCTCTTTTTCACGTAGCAAGCTTATTGCTGCCCCAAGGTCTTTGGACTTCCATTTCTGTTTTCCCTCAGATAACTTGACTTATTAAGTCACTTCATTCAGGTTTCTGTGCAGGTGACTTCCGCAAGGCTTTCTCTGAATTTCAGCTAAAATATATCGCTATCTAACTCCTTACCCAGCCTTAGATTTTTTTTTTTTTCATAGAATTTACAATCCTGGCATTATGGTAGCATGTGTGTGTGTGTATTTTAAAAAGTATTTATTTCTGTCTTTGTATATTTTCTGTTTTCCCCACTGGAATGCAAACTCAAAGAGGGATGCCTAATTCATAACTTTGTTGCCTGTTCTTAAATGTGTTGGGCACAAAGTAGGCTCTTAATTAATATTGGCTGATTAAATCATGAATGAACAGAGTATTTGTTGGAAAGTGGTGGAGATTAGTGTTTGGAAAAGGAAGTAACATACTTGGTAAAGTAACATAGTGTTTCACATAATTTTTATTGCAATACTGTGACATAAGTTTTTTCTTTTCTTAGAGATGAGGAGAACGCTTTTCAGGTAGGATAAGTAACATGTACATAGGGATAGATCTCCATCCTGATCCCTATCCTCCCAGCAATCACCCCACACTATCCTTTTTCCTCCTATTTCCAGTGGTCCCTTCTTCAATGGCTCTTTACTCTTCAAGGCTCCTCTGCAGAGTTCAATCTTTGGAATCTCACTTTTCTTTCCCAAACTGTTCCCTTTGGTGAAATTCAAATCAACAGAGTCCTATCTTCTCTCCCTCCCACACCATCTCTAATTCTATCTCTACCATTGTCACAAAGTCAACATCAATACAACTGAACCTGGCACCTTCCAATCCAATCCAGCTTGACCTCCCAAATGCTCCACACATCAAGTACTCAAATTTGTCACAGCAAACCCAATACCTGGTGCTTCCATGTGAAAAGACATGTCAGCAGAACAGCCTTGCTAGTCTCAGTGAAACTGGGCACTGAGGATGCATGTCAATTCAGAATACATGTCAATTCTTTCAGACCATTAGTGTGGTAGGAAAATATAGAATTTGAGTCAATCTGGGGAAGCGTTCCAATCCAGTTGTGAAATTTTGGCAGGTCACTACCTTTCTGATCACTATTTTCCACACCAGTGAAAAGGCAATTACAATACTACCTGCCCTACTCCATTGAGTGGTTATGAGAACAAACAAGGAAAAACACTTGGTGTGTATAAGCATGGAATAAAAACACATTTAGTATTTAAAAACTTTCTGTAGTATGCTTTGTCATTCAAACAGCATCAATGTATTGTTTTTACTCAGTGGTTTAAAAAGCTGCCCCCAGAGTAAATTGAGGGATTAGTGTTGAACAAAACCAAACCAGGGAGACAAAATTTGAAGCAGGTTTCCCAAAATGCATAATTATAGAAGTGTGGTCCTTTTTCAGAGCTGTCTCGGGTTAGATTCCTAGTGGCAGCAGGCCTTGAGATGAGGATTACTGTGCAGGTTATATATGAGGAGAGCGCTCCCAGGAGGGCCAGGGATGCAGTGTGGGACATGGTACACTGAAAAAGCAGAGTTCTGGCAAAATCCTAAAGGAAACTTTCCCTAAGTGCACAGGAGAATTTGAGAAGGCGAGCTGTCCCCTTCCCAAAAGAAGAGAGCTGAATTTTCACACTTCTTGTCAACCCTACCCACAACCACACCCCTCCTCCAAAGAAGATCTTGACTTTTTGTGTTCAAAGTCTCAGTATTTTACTTTATCCCTTCTGGGTTTTGTAAACACTATTACTACATAATGAATTATTTTCTATACTTTTAATTTGCCTCTGGACTTCATCAGTTCCATTTTTAAGCACTGTTTAACTTTGTTTTCATATATGTTCCTTTATTTAACATGACTTTTTAAAAAACTATTCTCATGCATTGATTTTTCCAACAATCCCTTCCTTACCAACCCAAAGGAGAATTTTCAGTCCTTGTCTTTCTAGAACCCTGAGGCCGGAGATGATGTGGCCACACCTAACACTCGCTTGCTTAACTTCTGGATTCTTCTCCTCCTCCTCAGGCCACTTCTCCTCAGTCCTCTTCACCTACTCCTCATCTCCTTCCTGTGTTCACGCTCTGTGGGGTTCTGTGGGAAGCTCTCTTCATTTTTCACTCCATGGATTCTCCTCAAGTGCTCCCCTCTACTCTCTGCACTGCTAACTCACAGTCAGCTCCACATCAACCTCCTCCACATGTGTGTATTGAACCTTTCCTCCCACAGGTAACAGAAGCATTCCAGACCTTACAGGGGCAGAAATGAGGTCATTAACGTACATATATCCTTATACCCACTCTAACCCAAGCCTAACTAATGGGAAAATGGAAGCAAAAAAGATACACTTTGTCCTGTTGCCATTGTGGCCAGGCATGTCATATATCACTAAAGACAAAATGCATTCTGCACCCTGGAACAGACAAAGGTAATGGGGTCATCCTGTCTGGTTCTAGTCCCAAAATAAATGATGTGTCCCCCACAAAACTGAACTCCCTAGTGTAAATGATTTTACACCCAAGTTTTGTTGTACTAATGTATAAAAGCACATCAAAACCTTTGTAAATAGGGTAAATATGTGAAAAACATGCAGTTTTTCTACCATTAAGTAAGTGTATATTACACTTGGTACTCTTACAATTTTTCCACTTTCTTTCCCATTTAAGTAATTCTTTGTATTTGGTAAGACATTCCTTCTGAAGTCAGAGCTCATTGCATTTGTTGCAAGAAACCTTTTTTTTTTCCTTGTTTCAAATCTTTCCCCTTGAATGTTAACAGGCTAAGGGCTCTGGTCTCTTCTCTAGCAACCCATGCCCAATCAGGTACCAGTCCTAACAATTCTTCTACCTAATATCATTTTTCTCAACTTCCCTGCCTCTAGAGTAGTCTGGAGTAGTCCAGGATAGGGATCATGCACATTTTCCTGAGTCTGGAGGAAAAGAGTATACTGGAGAAAATGATTGAAGAAGTTCATGTAAAGTATCTTCAGTCTTGATAAATTAGAAGGCCAAGTGAATTGCTTAGCTTGGGAGAGGAATAAAGGTGGGGTTTTGGATAGTGCTAAGAGGTGCCATGTTATTGCATGCATACTATGGGCCAGGCACTATGCCTAGCACCTCATCTGAATTGTGTAATTTCATCCTCAGTTCATCCTCTTAGAAACAACGTGGCTATTGTTGCTATTTTGCAGATGAATTAACTCAGGTCCAGAGAGGTCACATGATGTGTAAGTGGTGGAGCTGGGCATTGAACTCAGGTCTGTTTGATGGCAGGGCTCATGAATCAAACCTCATGGTTTACTAAGGAGAGAGGAGAATGACTGAAATTTCTGCATCACTTGCTTACAGGGGTTATTCAACTCTTACTGAACAAAAACAACTTATTCTTAATTTCTAGGGGACAGATGATTTCTGCTGAAGATTGTGAATTCATTCAAAGGTTTGAAATGAAAAGAAGTCCTGAGGAGAAGCAAGAGATGCTTCAAACTGAAGGCAGTCAGGTGCTTGATGAAAATATTGTATTATGAACACTTCCCCATATCATTAAAAACTCTAGAAATGTTTTCTAATTACTGTATGATATTACACTGTGGGTGTGCATTGAAATTTAACTACAAATCCATTTTTATTAAAAAAGTTTTTGAGTGATTTCCAGTTTTCTTTGCTAATTTTGGAAAAAATGTTATATTATGTTTATTCTTTTATCCTTTTCTGCATTTCTGAAAATCTTAGAAGAGAGTCCTAGAAGGGAAATGACTGTTTCAAAATATATATCAACACTTTTAAAGGTGCTGAACTTTTTTTGTGGAAAAAGTTTTTACTTTGTATTCTTACTAGAATAATAAGCAGTTTCACTATCTATCAGATTTTCTTATATGGGACCCTGATTAGCTGAAGGAGCTCATATACAACTTAGTCTGATTCTCACAACAATTTGTCATTCCAAGCCCTGGGAAATTTGGGAAGAAAATGTATTGTTGGTGCCAGTTTTTGTTGAATTCCAGAGAGACTGTTACATAGTTAATAACTTGAAGAATGGCGATAGGTCAAAGCCTTCTGATTCCAATTCCCAGTGCTCTTGTTGTTCTGCTTCTGTTCTGCTCCCTGGTAAATATCCCCTTCCTCCAAATCAAGACCAATAATAATATTTGTTTACATAATTTAATCTTTATGTTATTGTGGGTAATTAAGAGTTATTAGTTGCTAGGCCTGTTTACTTAAAAATGGTAAACATTTTGAAATTTATCACTAGAAATGAGCAAAAATCTGATGCAAGACATAGCAGGTTCCTCACGTGCTTCATCACAGTATTCATAACAGCTACATTGTTTTGTAATGAAATCTCTTAGTGAATAGCATTTGTTTCCTAATTTAGGCAAGCAAAATACAAGGGTGGGCAGAACTAGCTTTACAGTTATGAGTATGTGAAGCACAATTTATTCTTGTATTATTATTTATTAATTATTGTATCATTGACCAAATGAACAACTGTAAACCTACTTTTGCCCATCCCTGTGTTAAACTGAAATTCCATTAATCTATTGTGTTTGTAGTTGAAAACAGTAATTAACATGGATTTCATTTTTTTCTAGTGTGCTAAAACATTTATAAATCTGATGACTCATATCTCCAAAGAACAGACAGTTCAGTACATACTAACTATGGTTGATGATATGTTGCAGGTAGGTATATTTTTTACTTAATATATTTGGTGACTTCATCTTTTTGTGTACTGCTCAGTAACAACATTTTTGTAAGGTTTCACTTATAGCACTGGTTCTCTTCTAGAGTGTATGAATATATTTTTCTTCATTACATGGGATATAATTTGCTAATAGTGGTAAAGATGGGAATGCCCACATACTGGCTGCTTTTGTTGTTTTTCAGTATACTGTAATAATCCACAGGTATTTTTCTTTCCCACAAAACCTCAGAGTTCTTTGTGAAGATCAGCAATGTTTGGGGACTTGATTGAGGCTTTCCTGATGCTCTGTGTACTTACAGATGATACGGCTCCTTCACTTTTAGTCATTTAGCATATTTCTTTGTCCCTATGATCCAGGCCAGCGTGAGGCACAGGGTCTTCAGTGCTGAACGCAGGCAAGATGCTTGCCATCAAAAGCATTGTTTCTTTGGAGAATGTTTTTCTAATTGAGACTTTTCTAGTTGTGTAGAGTTTCTACTTATTGCCTAGGGTCCCTGAACACGGAGGGGCTTCCTTTATTCACCATTTTTTATTTTACAGCAGAGTATATATAATCTAGTTTTAAATTGTTTGGTAAATAGAGTAGGTCTTTTTGAAATAGGCTGTCTGGCTGCTAAATCCAATGCCTGTCTATATGTCTTAGGAGATTGAAGAAGAGTGTCAGTATGACTGCTTTGAGGTCATTCTGTTAGTTTACAAGGAAAAATATTTATTGCTGGCTTATGTGCCAAGCACTGTACTATGATTGATGATACAAAGGTTAGGAAGAATAGTGCTGGCTACCTAGAGGCCATCATGTCATCACAGGAATGTAGTGATTTTATAATGTAAGTAAGGATTGATATCCAGCAGTTGATGCAGGCCTGTCTGAGAATGACCTTGTCCCTCCTAGCACTTTTTCCTTTAAAAAAGTAAAGTTAAAAAATGGAGAATATTGCCATTCACCTTGACTATCCTGACTACACCTAGGACTATACCTAGAATAGGAGAGTCTGAGTTGGTATGCAGACTGTGGTTTTATTTATTTCATATACACATAACACACAAAAATGCACACACACAAATATTCTTAATTTTTATACATATACATACATCTGTAAATTAAAAACCATGAGTTCATACTCCCCCCAATTTCATTTCAGCTCAGTACTGCAGACTTTATTCTAGCTTCTTTGCATACTTGTAATCTCTTCTGACACAGTGAGATTGTGAGATCCTCTTATTCTTCATCTATTAACTCATTTATTCTACCCTATAATACAAAGAAGTTTTTTGACTTACCTAAATGTGAAGCCTTTTACCTAGAGTTCAGTGTGTGTTTGCAGAATTTTTAAACTGCGGGTATGTAGTCAGCATATTATGTTCAGGGTATTTATTTATTTACTCATTTATTCATTCGTTCCTCACCTGAAGATAAGTTTTGATTGATTTTAGAGTGAGAGGAATGGGGAGAGAGAGAAACATTGATGGGTTGCCTCCTCTACATGTCCTTACCAGGCATGTTCCCTGATCAAACCTGCAACCAGAAAGTAGTTTTCAGCCAATAATATGTGGAGGAAATTTAGATGAGAGGCAGAGTTTCCATTATTTGAATTAAGAAGTAATTGTTCTTGTTTTCTAAATCCACCTGCTAGAGTGATATACTGTTTTTGGCTCTCCTTATCTGCCCTGATTTTTCTGTCATAATATGCTAAGAATAACTTGGAACAGTAGAGATATCTCTAATTCCCTATTTCCCTTGACTGCTTGTACACAGCTTGAGGTTCTTCCTGTTGATCCTTCCATCTAGAGTTTTGTGATCTTTCTGCCCTTTTCCTGTTTTGTTTGTGTGGAAGTACTTTTTGGTGTTGAGAACAACATGGAGAATGGTAGGTCAGAGGTGTGGGCTGAGAAGAAATTAACTTAAAGTGCTATACCTTGCAGGGCTGGGATCTGTTATGTTGGCTCACTTGAATTAAACTAATCATAATAATTAAAGGTTATTTTATTTTTAAAATATCCCCACCTACATCCCATCCTCCTGCCCCTTAACAACAGGGAGGAAAATCTCATACATGCTGGAAAAAGAAAACACATAGATTGATGGGGCATAAACTGAAGGGTTGAGAAGCTGTGTGTAATTGTTACATTCTTTAGGAAAATACCTTTGGATTAGTGATATCATTCCTTTTCTTTTTTAGGAAAATCATCAGCGTGTTAGTATTTTCTTTGACTATGCTAAACGGAGTAAGAACACTGCCTGGTCCTATTTTCTGCCAATGTTAAATCGCCAGGATCTCTTTACTGTTCACATGGTAAGTTTTGAATTGATCAAATGTTTGATTTAGGGAACAAACATACCTGGGCCATTTATGACATGGTGACCTCCCAGTTCCCAGGGTAGTAACTGCTATGGTATTAGCTTTTCAAAGCAGTGTTTTTGGTGGTTAATAATGTGAGGACTTGGGGAAGACAGAAGAGATAGGGTTGCCCTGATACAGTTAAAGTTTTGTAGAGTGTAATTATGAGTCATTAGCATAAAAGCCTTGTAATTCACGTGTGCAAATAGCTCTGGATATCTATGACAGGGTTAACAGAATTTTACTTTAGAAATTTTGCTTTGAAGCAGCTAGTATGTTTAATTTTTATTTCAATTAATCAATTGCTTTTTAATATCTTAAATATACTATCATTTTATTTATTCATTTATTTTAAAGATTTCATTTATTTTTTTTTTAGAGAGAGGGGAAGGGAAGGAGAAAGAGAGGGAGAGAAACATCAATGTGTGGTTGCCTCTTTCTCAGTGGGGACCTGGCCCACAACCCAGGCATGTGCCCTGACTGGGAATTGAACCAGTGACCCTTTGGTTCACAGGCTGGTGCTCAATCTGAGCTACCCCAGCCAGGGCCCTGTTTTAAACTTAGCCTGAAAAGCTATCTTTGGAAGCCTTCACACTGAAGAATCTTTTTTTTTATATCCTCACCTGAGGATGTTTATTGATTTTAGAGAGGGAGGAAGGGGGCAGGAGGTGCCGGGGAGAGAGAGAAATAGACAAAGGAAGAAAGAAACATCCATTGGTTGCCTCCTGTACCCACCCCAACCTGGGACCAAACCTGCAATCTAAGTATGTGTCTTGACCGGGAATCGAACCGATAACTTTTTGGTGTACAGGATAATGCACCAACCAACTGAGCCACCTGGCCAGGGTTGATGGATCTTTTAAGGAGTATGTGGAGAAGGTATGAGAGGAGGGGTGAGAGAATAAATCTTTGACCAAGCCTTTTCTGTTCCCAACATATGGAGTGAGCTGTGGGGTGGGGGGAACTCCTGAGTTTGCTCATTTCAGTAGATGTCTGTAAGTTTTTCAAATAAAAAAATCATTGTCAGTGAAACAATTTTGAGTATGCATGTTCTTTCTCTCTCTCCCCCCTTTTATATCCGTATTCATTTGTGTACTAGTGTATTCTTGTATATATTATAAAACATTTATAAAGAGAGAAATTAAAAAGGAGGACTCATGAAATAAACTACATTTTAAGGAATGTTTAAAAGAAACCAATAATTTATTTTTTTCTTTCAAATTGTGGAGACTTGTTTTCACTGTCTGGATACCTGGTTTAAATAGCTTCCTAATTTTGATGGTTTTATAATAAAATGGACAAATATATTAAAGACCAAATGTAAATTTAGGGTAAAGTTCATCATTACTAATTGTGTAGTCAAATCCATGTTTTAATTTCTTTATGATTTCAACTACTTTTAGCTAATCTTTTAAATTTTGAGGGTCACATTATCATTGGTTTATCATGTGCTAATGAAGGAGCTTTATGTTAGGAGTAGAAATATCAGATCTCTTATTCCTTTTTGTCTTTTCATTTTGACTGTGCTTACATGGCTGATAATATTTTCAATCTTGGTTTCCTTACAGGAACCTTTTCAAGTCACTTACCTATTTTGTAGAAGTTAGGTCAGTTTCAAGTAGATAATGTATCTGTAAATTCACTTAGCTATGCACATGGAAATGTTGATATGTCAACTTAGTGAGTTAGTTGAGGTGCTACTGTTTGCCCTCCATGGTATAGAATTCCAGATATGTCATGACACTTGAATGCATGACATACTAGCCTTGGAAATGTGCCTCTGTCACCTGGCTCAGCTGTATCCAAGTATAAGAGCAAATATCAGTCCATCAACACAGGAATTATTTGGGGGTTAGATAACAGCCTTCCATTTTCTACTAGGATTAATTATTGCTGTATTATTGGAGTTTTGAAATACTGACTTGCTTTCAGATTCTTTCAGTACTGAAAGAATATAAAATTAGGCCCTGGCTGCCTCCTGTGTGGCTCAGTGGATTGAGCACTGGCCTGTGAACCAAAGGGTCACTGGTTTGATTCCTAGTCAGGGCGCATGCCTAGGTTGCAGGTCAGGTCATGTTCTCAGTAGGGGCACAGGAGAGGCAACCACACATTGGTGTTTTTCTCCCTTTCTTTCTCCCTCTCTTCCCCTCTGTCTAAAATAAATAAATAAAATCTTTAATTTATTAAATTTATTTATTGAATTTATTAATTTATTTTATTAAATTTATAAACATAAATCTTTATGTACATAAAAATCTTTAAAATAAAAAATTAAAATCTTCAAAAAATATAAAATTGGGTTTGTGTGTGGAGAAATAATATTTTGTACGACCTATTTTGTGTGTATATATGTGTTTATATATTCAGATTTATTGTATAATTATTGTTCAGGTATACTTGACAAAATTGTAAGATATTTAAAGTATACAAGATGATTTGATATACTTATAATACCTATTTAATAAAAACTCATGATTAGTTGTATAGCTTGAAGAAAAATGAGAAATCTTTGAATGAGGAGAGAAAGGTATATCTTTATACATCAAGAGAGGTGGCTGTTTAACACCAGGATATATTTTGTACCAACATAAGAAATTTCAAGAGTGAAAACTCACAAGTGGCTTGGAATGAGCAGCATACTGGCTGACAATTTGTTAATGAGATTGCTCAGGACTCTGGCAAGTAATTTGGTGAAGTTTGCTGCAGGAAAGACTTTTGTGTTCTTTTGATTTTTGCTGGTCAAATGAATCCCAATTTTACTTTTGAAACTCAAAATAATACAGAAAATGCCATGAAATTCTTAATTTAACAACTAATTTTGGTTCTGTTTATTGGAAAATTGGAAATATTTGAAAATATATTTTGACTATATTTAAAAACATATTTAAAAAATGAAGTATAAACTAATTTTGGAGGAGCTGAGTGTTAAAAAATGCAGCAAAAAGGATTATGAGTCCTGGGTAGGCATATGATGTGATTTTTAGAATTAATACAGTATTCACATGTATTTTTTACTTTTTAGGCAGCAAGAATTATCGCCAAGTTAGCAGCTTGGGGAAAAGAATTGATGGAAGGCAGTGACTTAAATTATTATTTCAATTGGATAAAAACTCAGCTGAGTTCACAGGTAAAAGACATTTCTTTTAGTATCTTTGAAAGGATTATACTATTCATATTCTCTTCAACTATTTAATTATGGGAAATTACAAAAAACTCAAATATTACAATAATGCCATTTTTAACTTGCTAAGAGTAGTTTAGCTTGCTTAATTGTGATAGTATGCTTTACTTTTTCTTTCTTTGACTGGCTTCAGCTCAACCCTTTCTGTTCTTTCTGCACTTGGGATTTTCTGTTTATGCTTTTCAGTGGGCAGGGAGTACCTTCTTTCCAGGAGGCTGCAATATCACACTGGTGGGAGAACTGAAAGGATTCACCCAACTCCAAAGAGCACACCCATGTGAGGCTTATAGAAAGGAAAAGAAATTGTGCAGCAGGGGAGAGAGTGAAGGGAAACTTTGAGGCTGAGATATTTCCAGGCGCAGCTCCCACATCTGTCTTGGGACTCTGGACCAACAATATTTGCACAAGAAATCTTGGTTTTGGGAGAGCTCTCCAGAAGTTTCTAGTGGGATCTTGCTAATCAATTAACCAGGCTGAGCTGTCTAACTAGTTACACTAATAAACAAACTGGCTCTGGGTGCCACTAGGGGAGTTTCAAACTGTAAATAGCACATTATAGATCTTCGGTCAATGCACTTATTTTAGTCTTGACCAAGAGTCCATACCAACTTTCCAGGTGCTCCTGGGTAAGTGTGGAGCTGCTTGGGCTAAGTGTGAGATAATAGTCTCACACAGTGACTCCCCAGTATTTCACTGTATCATTGTGGGATGGAACATGTAGGCCACAGGTTAAATGTGAAGCCTGCTTATTGGTCATCTTGATGCTTTCAGACCTCTCTAGCTCTACTTCCCTGTAGAGGAAATAGCTTGCTGGTTTAATGACAAGTTCTCTGTTTTTGTCTTCATGGTTCCCTAGTACAGGGAGAAAGACAGGATACTTATGATGGCTCATTGGTGTTTCTTTTAGGCTTCCATTATTAGGTGGTAAGGGGAAACTTGGTGGAAATGTTCTTCAGGAAAGAAGTGAAAAGAAGGTGGGTGGGGGAGTAGTATTCTGGGGAAGAAAAGGCAGAAGAATGAGATTTTGGTATTGGGATGGGTGACATGGAAGAGTGAGACCAGGAGAAGTAATATTAATTGCTGTCATGTTGTAAGTGTTAGATTACGCAAAAATGCCTCTTTGAAATACATTTTTGGAAAGTTGTCATTTAAATTTTAGTGACTGTTATTTTAATAGTTTCATTTGAAGCATAAGAGAGATACCATGACATTTTGCTTAGATTTGTTGACTTACTGCCTGCCTTTTTGGGGGTATCCTAATTGCTTTTACATTTAGATAAGGATATTTTAAGAGTACTTTGAAAAAACTAAGCATTTTTTATGTCAGCATATATTTTAACAATCTTTCTGGCTTAGTTTTTAAAAGTATTTTTACAAGAGTCAGAGATTTATAGATTTTAGTGAGTTTGTGAGGTAATTCAAAAACAAGGTACTTAGAACATGAAAATCATATCTTACTATTTCTAAGTGTTTATTATTTGGGATCAGAATGCTTATAGTTAGATACCCCCCCTTTTTTTTTCCTCTTGAATTTAGTTTTTCTTTTGAGCAAACTTCATTCTGCTTTAGTGTTAGCTGTATAGTATAGTCATAATGGGGCTCTATTGTGGCTAGATTCATAAAATGAAAATTGTCAGGAAAGAATGTATACTTATAGATTGCAAATAACATTTGGGGTTGTTTCATCTTAGACTTTTCCTCACAGGAATAACATTTATATTGTGTCTCAGGTGATTTGTCACTTTGGAATGATTAACTATGGATGTAACCTTGTTGATCAATTGGAGGAAATATTTCTATTGTCACTAGTGGAAGCAAATATTTCAATGTCTAAAACAGTGTTTAGAATTGGTATCAGATTAGTGTTCTTAAAGACCTTCCCTGTATCTTTCTAGCATATTCTTTTATCACTGAGTTTTGGCTTTGTTTATTTGTGGTGTGGCATATCTGCTTTGCAAATCCTTCTGTTTACAGAATGACTCTTCAGGGTTCCCAGGCCCAATCTGGCTTTGCTCCTTAGAGTCTGGTCACTGCTTCTTCTAGGCTCTGGATTGCACTATCTCTCTTGCTGTGGGCAGACACTTCTTCCATAGCTTTTTATCAGGATTAAACTACAGACTTCCTGTTTAAAGAATGAAACAGGATTATTTGGAATTTTATTTGCTACTCTGCTTAAATGTCATTTGATAGGACTATGTCTGGAAGGTCTCTTTTTTTCTGTTGTGTTTTCTTTCTCATAAAAGGGATCACAATTTCATAATTTTCATAGAAATAAACTTTCAAAAGTCTAGATTAGTTGCAAGTTTGGATATTTTGTTCTTTGACTTACAGTGACATTGAGTATTATACTTGGTCATGGGGCTCATGCCTGACAGTAGATAATAGTTACTGAATAAAACAAAATAAAAATTTCCTTTCAGAAATTTATTGTCACTTTTCTCTTGTATATTCAGCCTTTGACTTTCTACCTTAAAATTTCTTTGGTCATTTCTCTAGAACATATGAGATTTTGATTTTCAATGTAAGTTGTTAGCATTGCTGTGGATAACCAAATTTTAAATTCTGTGTTGTATCTTCTCATCATCAGGCACCTATTTCAAAGACTTGGCACAGAATATATAGTGTACATAGTTCAGCTCAAGACAGTTGTGTTATTTGAGAAACAATTTAATAAGAAAAACCTGAGACTGGAAATTTGTACCAGCTTTGCTCATGAAATTTAGCTGGAGATTAGTATTCAGCTTATTATTGTTCCATTTTTAATACTATATTGATTAAAATACTACATGGATGAGTGTAATGATACTTAGAATATTTCATTATCATCCCCATTCTTTTTATTAGTCAATGATACTTCATTAAGTAGGATTAGGAAAAAAATTATAAAATTGCTTAGCTCCCTTTCGTACACTGATAAATTAGGATAAAATTAAAAACAAAACTAAGTAATAAGTTATTTATTTTGTAATAGAAACTGCGTGGTAGCGGTGTTGCTGTTGAAACAGGAACAGTCTCTTCAAGTGATGTAAGTACATTCATTCTTAATTCAATAGCCTCCTAACACCCTGAATATAAGTTATTTTGGGTCATAGTTCACTTTTTTGAAGATGTTTACTAGTCCCTCAACTATAAATTTATGGATTTGATATCACCTCCAGTTAGTTTAATGGTGTTATAAACACTGTATCCAAACATTTAAGTAAGGTCTTTAGTGATCAGTGTTCAGTGGGTACATATGAAACTTGCGCTTCCCTGTTGCTGTTGCCTGACCTGAGAATCAGAGCAAGAGTGTGAATTCAGATAGACAGTTGGAGTGAATGAAGTTACTCTCTTCAAGCTTCAATTGTCTAATAATACATAAACTAATATCTATCTAGTGGGTGCGTGAACACTGTGTCAAGCAGTTGAAAATGGTTCCATAGCCCACTAAAATTCATTACTTGCACTGTGTTGCTCAAGGCTTTATATGGGACTACATGGTGGCCATAAACATCCCCCCTCCCTTTTTTGGCCAATCTCTTCCCATATGTTTGTAGAACCAAAAATGTAAGAGTTAAAGTTAATGGTGTCTCCCCAAGTTCCTTTTTTTTTGTTAGAGTTATTTTCCCCTTTTAGGAATGATATAACTTTACTCTGCTAAGAATAGCTCAAAAACTGGCAATAACTTTGGACAATAGGGCTGGAATAATTGGAACCAGTTGAAAAAAATAAGGGGACAAAAGTTAGCAATGTAGGTGAGGTGCATATAGCTTCATTTGTTGGAAATTATCTCGCGGGACCTGGAAAACATCTTTAGAGGATGGTGTCTACATCCTGCCTGTTATAGACCTAGATGAAGCTCTGTAGAAGCCATTTAATGCCCATATTAATTACTGATACTTCCATATTTTGCATGGAACATACCTGTATATATTCTGAGACTATAGATGGCAGCAGAACCCACTTTCAAAGCACAAAGTGGGGCTTTTTGGGGGGCATAGGTTAAAGGATTTGACCAGTAGTGTATTAGGCCAGAAAATGGCCATTAGCCTTCTGAAATGAAATCAGAACAAGGTGTAGAACTACATGAGTAGTCTGGGACTGGGGTGGAGGAAGGAGGTGGTGGGTTAGAAGTCTAAATATTTAGCCATAAGTAGATGTTTAAATTGGGAGTCTTTATTTTATGTTACTTGAATTTCAATCAGTTTAAAACTTTGAAAGAAATGTTTAATTCATGTATTAGACTTGCTGGTAGATTTTTTAAAAGGTGCTTTTGGACTCATGTCTTATAAACAAATTTGAGTAAAGTATTTTTAAGTTATTAAGGCTTAGATAATGGATTGCAAGTTCTGGTGATATGAAATTCTGATTGTGCTATTTTCTGTCCAGTTAGTTGGAAAACAAAACTGACTAATTGAATTGACTCTGCATTAAGTCACAGTGATTTATAGCAGACCTGTACGTATACATCCCAAATGGAATTAGCATCAGGGGTAATTGTGAGTAAGGAAAAGATGGCCTTTGATTTTCCACTTTCTTACCTTTAGTGCTCTTCAAACTTGAATATATACTTTGTCTCTTACTAAAAGTTCTTACTGTTTCAAATGGCTGTCCACTTGAGTAAATTCAGAGTAGGGTGTTAGCCTTCTTTTGATACTTGCATTTTAATAGGGAAATCTAAATTGGTAGCCAATACTTATTGAGCTTTTACTGTGCCTGACATTGTTTTAGTCACTGTACATTTACATGTCCTTGAATACTCATACTTCTTCTTTGATATAGGTTTTACTATAAGCCATGTTTTATGGATATGAACAGTGAGACTGTAGAAAGGCATACTAGCTTGTCCAAGGTCATTCAGCTAATGAGTGGCAAAAACCCCAAAGAAACGAATTGCATACTGAGAACTTTTGAGGAAGCTGAACTGGAATTGGATCTTAGGCATTCCTAAGTCTCTTAGCCTCCTCAGACTTGTGAAAATATTGATAATATATCTTAAAATCCCTTTAGATTTTCAGAAAGCATAGAAAAGCAGTTTGGTAAATCGCATTACATGATACTGCCACTTGATGTCAGTATAAAACAAATAAAAAGGGTTTACACTGCAAAATGAGAAATAAATATCTAATTGTGTTAACCTTTAAAACTACCATGGAAACATCCTAAGTTATGAGTGGGTTATTACAAACATTATTATTTACTTTTAATTCTTTTTTAAACATTTTTAAAGGTTTTATTTAATTTTAGACAGAGGGGAAGGGTGGGAGAAGAAGAGGGAAACACCATTGTATGGTTGCCTCTTGTGTGTCTCCTACTGGGGACCTGGACCACAACTCAGGCATGTGCCCCAGACTTGGAATGGAACCGGTGATCCTTTGGTTTGCAGGCCCACGCTCAATCCACTGAGCTACACCAGCCAGTGCACAAACATTTTTATTTAAATGGAATTACATAAATGGAATTGCCTTAAAATGAATTATGTTGGCTTTGCCTAAATGTGAAGTTACTAAATGACATTAAATCATATGCACTTAACCTTAAACTGTATGTTCAGTTCTTTTTCTTAAATCCTCACCTGAGGACCTTTTTTCGTTGTGTTTTAGAGGGGAAGGGAGAGAGGGAAACAGAAACGTCTATGTAAGAGAGAAACATCAATTGGTTGCCTCCTGTAAGCCCCCAGACTGGGATCATACGCACCTGGACCAGGGATAGAACCCGCAACCCTTTGGTTACTGGACAACACTTTAACTAACTGAGCCACACCAGTTAGGGCTGTCTGTTCAGTTCTTTAATGACTGTTGAATGATGTTCGTTCAATCTTATGTCTTCTGAGGGAACTGTACGTTCTTCAGTGATGATTGTTGTGCTGATGCCCTGCTAGAAAGAGGAATACTGTGATCTCTCACAAATTTGGAGGATCTAGATGAAACTGGGAGTTTTGTGTTCGTTTGCTTGTTTTCTTTAACCTCTGTCCAGATTCATTCATACAGGTATGTAGGAGAACAAGGTGATTCCTAGCTTTTGCACTTAACTATGTCGTATTATCTGGCAGTTTTTGTTGTAGACCTAGTCTGGCTTCAGTTATTGCTAGGTGAACATTGTGTTACTGATACTAAAGTAACTTAAGTTGTCAGATTCTCCTTTTGCTTATTTTATATTTTTATCTTGTTTTTTAATGTTCTGGAACAGTTCTGTCCAATAGAACTTCCCATAATGTTGGAAATGTTTCGTATCTTTCCATTGTCTGTTATGGTAACCACTAGCCAAATGTGACTCTTGAGCACTCAGAAATGTGGCAAGTATGAATGAGGAAGTCAATTTTCAATTTTGTATGGCTTTTTTGTAGAGCTTTATCAAAATATATTTCACATACCATAAAATTCATCTGTTTGCAGTTCAGTGGGTTTTAGTGTATTTACAGAGTTGTGCAACCATACCACAATCTGATTGTGTAGCATTTTTGATACATCAGAAAGAAAATCCTGTACACATTGACAGTCATTCCTCATTCTTGCTCCCTGCTCCCAACCTCTGGCAACCACTGATCTTCTTTACTCTCTGGATTTGCCTCTTCTGACCATTTCATATGAATGAATCATATTATATATGGTTCTATGCCTGTGCCTGGCATCTTTTACTTGGGCTAATATTTTCAAGATTCATTCATGTTCTAGCATAGTAACAACAGCATTTTAGATTGAGAGAAGAAAAACACTTTTTTGACTTTTGCCCTAATTCCTTAAATTTTTTTGGTGACAATTCTAATATCCTTGTTAATATGAGATTAATTTTACTGCTTTAGCTTTGTTTTTACTTTAAGACTATGCTATGTAACACTTTTCAGTCTTCCAGAAGTGATGGAGTACTTTAATGATTTAGTTCTTTGCTACTTCATTGATAACTAAAGGAATAGGCTAGTTCATAAAGTTCAGGCCTTTCATTTAACTGTCCTTTGCTATAGCTGGTTAGTCTGTGAGGACTCAGAGTGATTCACTATCAATTACATGTCTTTGTACAAGTTTCAAATCACTATATTTACCTACAGTGACTCTTAGAAGATTTTTGTTGTTCAGTGGCTTTATAAAAATGGATACATTTAAAACATAGATGCTCAGAATAATGTTAAGATAACGAAGAAAGATAACCTCAGTTTGGGTTTGCTGATCAGATTTTTGGAAGGGTTGCCTTGAGGTATATTATGGCAATACAAAAGAAAATTAAGTTGTAAGGAATTTCAGTGTAATTTCAGTGTAAGGAATTTCGGTGCTATATTAAAGTATAGCACCGGTAGTAATAATGGGGTAACCTAATATCGTACATTAGATGTGTTCTTAGAAGCTGTATACAAAGCAGTAATGCATAAAGTAAATCATATTAAGTCCACACTAATTTTTCCTCATAATAAAAAATCCTAGTCATTACATGACTAAGCAAATTAGAATGAAAGTAGTAGTTGAAGGAGATTTATAAATTTGAAAAGTAATAGTAAAGTTACTTTTTTAATAAAACTTAAGTTTAAGACTAAAGTATCATAAGTGAATTAAGGTGTTAATTTAGTTTAGGTATTATGAGGATTGACTGGAGGATTTTTTAAAAATATATTTTATTCATTATGCTATTACAGTTGTCCCATTTTCCTCCCTTTATTCCCCTCTACCCTTCACACCGCCTCCCACCCACATTCCACACCTTTAGTTCATGTCCATGGGTCATACATATAAGTTCTTTGGCTTCTACATTTCCTATCCTATTCTTAACCTCCCCCTGTCTATTTTCTAACTACCATTTATGCTACTTGTACGTTTTCCCTCTCCCCCTCCCACTCCCCTGTTCATAACCCTCTATGTGATCTCCATTTTTGTGGTTCTGTTCCTGTTCTAGTTGTTTTCTTACTTTGCTTTTGTTTTTGTTTTAGGTGTGGTTGTTAATAACTGTGAGTTTGCTGTCATTTTACTGTTCATAGTTTTTATCTTCTTTTTCTTACATAAATCCTTTTAGCATTTCATATAATAAGAGCCTGGTGATGATGAACTCCTTTAACTTGAC